AAGAAGAAGAAGAAGAATTTATACTATTTGTTACAAAAACAGTTTACTGGCAGTGGGAAAAAGAACATTGTTTATTCCAAAAAAAAAAAATATTTAAACAAAAAATGTGATATAATTCATATGAAGAAAGTAATATTCACAAAATATTTTTACTTATGAAAAGTCTAACAAAATATAGGAAATAAGTCGTCTTTAATAACTGCTCAAAAAATTGGACATAGCGCCTTTGTATGAATAATAAACCGTATGCTTTTTAGTATATTGAAAACATTGCTGGAAAACCTTAAAATGTTTACATGGAACCATAGCGCAATAAACAGGTGAAGTAATAAAACAGCTTTCTCGCTTTATTTCCTGTCATTCGGCTGCCTTATAGTCAATTTTTAAAGGCAATTTTTCAAATAAGCCAGTGTCAAAATCTTTTTCTCGCTCTAATTACATCACCTGGTATAATTCCGCCATGGCATAGAACAAACAAAATTTGCCGTTCCTGTTCGCAGCATATAACACAGAGAATATTGTTTTGAGTTTTATCTTCAGTTAAAACTTCTGCATTATCATCACTGGTTTCACCAAATAAATAAAAGTGTGTAAAATTTTACCTACTCTCAGACTTCTAAATTTGAACGTATACTCGATACAAGCAGGTGGGATGAATAAACAGGTGAATAATAAAACAGCTTTCTCGCTTTATTTTCTGACATTTGGCTGCCTTATATTACGTTCAAATTTGGCCTCATTTAACTTGTGAAATGAAAAAAAGCTTTTTGCAAAACACAATCGTTCACATTGAACATTTGGAGTTAATTTTGACGGATTTTTGATTTCAAATAAAAATTAAAAAAAATATTCAAAGTCAATTCGTTGTGTTTCAATTTGTTTTGTGCGAATGTCTGCTTTATGATATTATTGCATACGGATTACTTAGAGACTTTAAAATGTTTAGTTCGTATGCACCATTTATCTCTGCGTACGATAAGACCTGATGGAAATAACTAATTACCGCTTTGGCCTCTTTTTTGGTGGGCAGACATGCATACAATTTTGATAGTCTTTAATTTTTAATATTTTTGAGAATATAAATTTTTTGAACGCGGGCGTGTTAAGTGAAAGCTTTTGGGTCTTTCTGATTAGCCGGAGCAGACAGCTTTCTGATACAACTCTGCGCTGAACTGGTTTTCAAACGAGTTAAATGACTTAACTGGTTCAAGCCCATTTAACATGTTTATCTCGTCAATTTGAACGTGGTGTTATAGTCACATTTTATAGGCATGTTTTCAAATAAGGCAGTGTCAAAATATTTCTTCTCACTCTAATATTACTTCACCTGGTATAATTCCACCATGGGTAGGGTGCATGCAATAACACCTTACGCAATTATTTCCATTACTTGGACATTAAAAAGCAGTTTCAGAAGTGAACTAGTGTCATTTTATTATTATTATTTTTTGTAAACGGTTATAATGCCCCCAGTGCATAATTGCGAAAGGAGGTGAGGGGGCGGGGGACGCGAGCGCGACGTCGAACGCGGCGCGGGGTGGCGCGCGAACTCGGTCCGCCGCGGTGCTGGGCACTTTCAAAATTGTATACTTACAAATCCGTCCATTTAACTTGCTCATGTACTACTTTTTGTCAAATTTAACTGGGTGACTACCTATATATGTGCTTTATTTTGCTTTATTACTCAATTGTTAAGTTTATAAGTTGGTGTTATTGCTCAACGAGAAATGTAATAAAGCAAATTTGTGTTATTTCACATTCAATTGGGTGTTGTTGTTAACATTTACAAATCAACTTTTATTAACCCATATGCAATGTGGGTTTCCTTTGTTTGGTAATGTGTTAAGTCATATTTATTGTATGTAGTTTTTTATAAGGTAACAAGTAATTTTTAAGCAAAAAACAAATTCTCATATAAAAATTTATGAGTACCGTTAATTTCTTCATGATCCAATGATCGGATCTAAACCAAATCAGTATGGGACCACCTCTGAGGTACCACCTTTCCTTTAAACATAGAAATCGGTTAGCGTGGTCTAAAGTTATGCAGTTAAATACATAAAACAATACTTCGACGAGTTGATAACCTCCTCCTTTTTTTGAAGTCGGATAAAAAAAAATATAATGGTTGCGTTTTTTTCTACATTCCAGATAATCCCATTTCACAGCCAGAATAAACAGAATGCGTTTGAAACATATGTTAACATATCATCAGGAACGTTCTCAAGAATAAGTAAACAACAAAGTTTATTCCAAACGTTCAGAATTAATAAAGAAATACAGCCAATAAAAAGTATTTGACGTTTTTTTGGCTGAAATGATGATTTTTGGGGCAAATTGACGATGTTTCAGTGAACGATTTCGGCAACGCTGGCTCTATCACACATACAATCTCACTATTCTGCCGACTTCGTTTTCCCCTTCCGATAACTTTTTTCCTCCGCGCTTGCCTAGCCCCGCTGTGCAAAGCTTTGCCCGCGCAGTCGCCCGCGACACATATGTGCTTTTTTGGGCATTCCTATCCTAAAAGGTTGCTAGAGCAACAAAAAGAAATTTTCGGGGGAATTTGGTTTTTGATATTGTCTTTTTAACTACATATATATAGAATTTGTATCGTATGAATTATAACAAAAACGCAGAGGTTTGTGAAACTATTAGCGAATGCTATACCATTATTTATTTATTTATTAATAATATGTATGTATATAAAAGATGCCATCATCTTTTTATTTGTTACAGTAAAGTTCTTTAAGATTGCTTGTTTAGGATTGATTCAACATGAAACTCTTAACTAATCAAATTGCATGAAAAAATAGTAAATTACAAGGAATTTAGTAACAATACAAAGGTTAATTCATACAACGGCTGTGAGTGGTGGATAGCATTAATTTAATTGAGTAGAATTGCAGGTCTTTTATAATCCTATCACTATCGCATACTCAAATCTGTAAATATATGTATAATTATATGTATATAAGAATATGACTCGCTACCTACAACTTGAATATGTATTACATTTTGTTATATTGTAGATGAATCGTATAGGTAACCGCGGTATTCATAAACTCTTTTATACATTTATGGACTTTTTGCTTTTATGCCTTTGACTTGATTATAATTTTATTTATCATTTTAGTACTAAACGAATCTTGTTGTTAACATACCTCGTATCAAAGCGGATATGTGTTTGCAAACAACTAGATACAGAATCTCTGTAAATAATTAAAGGTAAAGAATAATATCGCAAATATTCGACGCCGCGCCGCGATATGCGTTAAATAAATCGGAATTTATGTGAGAAATTTAATTATATTGGTTATAACCATGATTCAGATTCAAATTAATTATCATGTGCTAAATTTTCTATTTACTTATTTCCGTTATGCTGAGGTCGTCATATGACACTGTTTTAACTAATATAAACACTAAAGCAACATCAAACTATAGACTCAGCGGTTTTCCGCGATCAGCGTCGCCAGGATCGATCCTCAGACTCCTCATCTTCCTCTTCGTCCTCAAGACGGAGTTCAGGTAATGTTTCCCCAGTAATTTCCGAATCATTAATATGTTTATCACTAGTGTTGGGTGATGTGACCAATTTGATAGGTTCCAAAGTATTCGACTTTGCATCTTGATTAGCTGATTTATCAGTAATAAAAGCTCCCGGATTAGCCGCCGTTGAAGATACGACCGGTGCCCAGGATATCTGTTTAATAGAAAAAAGTAGTTTAAATTATCTTATTCGGTGTTTAGTTATAGGAAAATATTGTATTGAACTAACAAAAGTATATCATTCGCATATTTACATAACCGAAGCTCAAAGGGGTTTAACTAAACATAAATTAAATAAAACTCGACGCAAATCGAATTGAACTGCCCTTAACACAGTAAAAAATGTTCGAATGTTCGTTCTAAATTTAGTCGGAGTCTAGTGGATAATACAAAGGTAAAATTATGATTTTCAAAACACATGACTGTCCATATCCTGACGCTAGGCGCACACTACATCCGATAGGCTGCCCGATTTCGGTCGAACAATTTAACTCCCAAAAACTAATGCGCACACTTAACTAGAATATTAGCCGAAGGCATTTGTACGCACAAATCAGGTTTGCATTTCAGTTTTGAAAGCAGTGAAAACTTTTAATACATTTTAATAGATAAACTCTAAGGCCCCTATTATGAGTTACATTCGATCTTCGACTGTGGTCGAAAGTGCTGGTCGAACGAATTTTCATTTGGTATTATGGCGCTCATTCGATGAAGAATAGCGCTATTGTGAACTTCGCTCGTTTATGTTGTTCACAATAGTATATTTTTCACCGCTGAGAAGCTTTGTTTACAAATCGAGCAAACTAAATAGTGTGCTTATACATATTTATGTAAATTTGTGCAAATTAAAATGAAATAAAAAAGAAAGCAAGTTTATAAAAACGTGGTAAAAATTAGTACAACGAAGTTCTGGGGTTCAACGATTCGTCAGAGGATGAGAGTTTAGTGAACTGACCAGGAGTAGTAAATGTTTAAGAGAGTTTAAGTGTAGTCTTTAAAATATATTTTGACATAAAATATATTTAAGAAATTTGTCTACAGATTTACTAAAAACTTCCGACTGTCTAAAGAGGATAACCAGCGAAGATCGAAAATCGAATGCAACTCATAATAAGGGCCTAAAAATGTAATTTTAGAGAGCATTTTTTTTTTTGCACGCAATTAGTTAATTTTTATCGTAGTCCATTTTAGTACTTTTAAGATGACATCGGCGATAAATACAAACATGCTTGAATTATTCGTCACCAGCGTCCGGACTTTGCTCCGATCGGAGTAGATTTACTCCGATTTCATTTTTAAATTTTAAATCTACTCCCTACTCCGCTTGACTTAAAATATGCTCCGATTTTTTTACTTTTTTACATTCAGAAAATATTACAAAATAATATGGTAACTTCTTTAATTTTTGCTCAATAGCTTCTGTGGCAACCACCAAGGTTTTGTAGAACAGGGTATAACAGAAGTTGTATCTTTTACTCTTTAACATTCCTTGCGGCATCACTTTTTATTTCCCAAAGCAGGAGATTGATTGGTTTACATACAGGGATATGAGAAGAAATGAAGCAATTATAAGATTGTAATTTTTAAATCCTTTTTGTTGTATCTTCAAAATTCCAAGGCGAATTTAATAAGGTGGTATTAGCGGCGAATCTGAATTTTTCGCCATTACATCAAAATGATGTGTTTGTTGTAATTCATACCATATGAATATCTGCGTATAATTTGTGAGTGTAATTTTTTACTTATATGCTAACACAACCTTATTAAATTCGCTTTGCAAAATTCGCGGAAATTCATTTCGCCAAAAATAATTCAACGCTATGCTGTTTGCGCGGTTTTTGGTCGATCTTGGTTACAAGGTAAGAAATACAATAAAAATCACATTTTTAATTACTATTGCACATACATATGTATATTTTCAGATTGACGACAATATTAAAACGCCAGACAGTGCAATAAAATACCCAAAAAAAAAACAAAGCTATTTGGAAGAAAAAAAGGCCATGGTTGAAAAATGAAAAACGTATCGCATACTGCAAATTATGCAAAAAAAAAAGAACTTAGCAATAACGTAAATCATTTGGATCGAAAGGAGGAGGGTAGTAAAAATCATGCGTGTTTATCAGATCTCGTGGAGAAGAAAATAAGAATGCAGGCCAAAAAGGACGCAAATCTACAAAGGGAAGTGACTACGGTAATGTACTACGTATCAAATGTTTTACCTTTTACTACAATGGACACAATACCTAATTTATTTGCTGTATCTGGTGGCGAGAAAATTAGTTGCTGTGCGAAAAAAGCAGCAGCGTTGGTCAGTCTTATTTCTACTTTTACTAAGAACCAGATATAAAAAACCTTAGAAATAAGCAGTTTCCTCTTATAATAGACGAAAGCACAGACATTTCGTCTAATAAATGTCTTGTCTTAGTTGCGCGATATTTAGAAGAAACAAATATTAAATACGTGTTTTTTGGGATGATTAAACTAGAAGACTCAACGGCGGACTCAATGTCAGGTACAATAAAAAAGTATTTCTCAAACCTTCAAATTCCCGGCCAAAGCTTGATCGGCTTAGGCACCGATAATGCCGCTGTAATGAAAAGTAATTTTCGAGGCGTGCAGGTACAGCTGAAGTCATTAAACCCTAACCTTTTCTATTTGGGCTGTACCTGCCATTCCATTAACCTTTGCGCTAAGGCTACTTCAAAATGTATTCCTTTTGAAACGGAAGTGTTGGTAAAGTCAGTTTTTAATTTTTTCGCTCATAGTGCGAAAAGGCAAGCTGAATTTAAAACGTTCAAAGAATATTTAAACGTACCGGAATCATCTTCATCTTCATCATCTTCATCATCATCTTCATCTTCATCTTCATATTCACCTTCGTCTTCATCTTTTTCTTTATCCTGATTTATATCTTCATTCTTTTCTTCATTTACGTATTCACCCTTTCCTTCCTCGTTGTCTTTATATTTAGGTTTCTTTACTTTTATTCTAATCTTTGCCTTTATCCCTTTCTTCTTCTACATATTCAACTTTACCTTCTTCCTTGCATGAATCTTAATCTTCATAAATCTGATTCCTAAACTGCTGCTTAGCAGATTTTTTTAATTAAGTATCAATATTAAATCATACATTGAGGAGGCATTTCCGCCCCAACCTTGTACATGTACGGTATTAGTATTGGTGTCACTTCGAATTGATTTTTTCGCGTTATGTTAAACCAATTTGAAATTTGAAAAATTGCCTGCACATCAGCATCAAAATACCTTTCTAATTGTTTATACCTTAGAGGTATAGTTTAGCCGCAAAAGGGGTGTAAAGGAAACATGATTGCCTATTTATATATAAGATGAGATACCAAAAACCATAAAACATACGGAAACATCATTGTATTGCAATATATTCGGGGTCTTCATCAAAAGTGATAAACTGATTTAATTATCATTTTATCTCGTTTATCGGAAGTTTATCAATTTATATGAGCGCCGCTATTATTTTATATTTCAGGGTGTGGTGGAATTGGGTGTGGGAGTTACTTTGTTGTGAATTCAGGTGTGGTGGGCTTAAGAGGTGTGGTGAGTTTAGGTGTGGTGAATTTAGTTTCGGTGAGCTGAGGTGTGGTGAATTATGGTGTGGTGATTTTAGGTGTAGTGGATTTAGGTGTAGGGAGTTAAGGTGTGGTGAGTAAAGGTGTGGTGAGAAAGTTGAGGTGTGATGAATTAAGGTGTGGTGAACTAAGGTGTGGTGCATTTAGAAGTGGGGAGTTAAGTAGTGGTAGATTGTGGTGAATTAATGTGTGGTGAGCTCAGGAGGAGTAAGTTTTTAAGCGGAGGTGAGATGAGTTATCTTCATCTTCATCTTCATCTTCATCTTCATCTTCATCTTCATCTTTATCTTTATCTTCATCTTCATCTTTATCTTTATCTTCATCTTCATCTTCATCTTCATCTTCATCTTCATCTTCATCTTCATCTTCATCTTCATCTTCATCTTCATCTTCATCATCTTTATCTTTATCTTTATCTTTATCTTTATCTTTATCTTTATCTTCATCTTCATCTTCATCTTCATCTTCATCTTCATCTTCATCTTCATCTTTATCTTTATCTTTATCTTTATCTTTATCTTTATCTTTATCTTTATCTTTATCTTTATCTTTATCTTTATCTTTATCTTTATCTTTATCTTTATCTTTATCTTTATCTTTATCTTTATCTTTATCTTCATCTTCATCGTCATCTTCATCTTCATCGTCATCTTCATCTTCATATTCACCTTCGTCTTCATCTTTTCCTTTATCCTGATTTATATCTTCATTCTTTTCTTCATTTATGTATTCACCCCCACTATTGTTATTAGGTTAGGTAGTTAAATTTTCCTTCCTCTTTGTCTTTATATTTAGGTTTCTTTACTTTTATTCTAATCTGCCCTTTCTTCTTCTACATATTCAACTTTACCTTCTTCGTTGCATGAATCTTAATCTTCATAAATCTGATTCCTAAACTGCTGCTTAGCAGATTTTTTTAATTAAGTATCAATATTAAATCATACATTGAGGAGGCATTTCCGCCCCAACCTTGTACATGTACGGTATTAGTATTGGTGTCACTTCGAATTGATTTTTTCGCTTTATGTTAAACCAATTTGAAATTCGAACAAGTAAGAAAGTCTAAGTTCGGGCGGAGCCGAACATTAAATACCCGGCGCAAGTATTAAATATATGTTTTTTCACCCTTCCGAAACCTTCCGCTAGATGGTAAGCCGAGGTGTATCAATTTTGAGTAAATTAGCGTCCTTCAATTTCGAAATATTGAAGTTTCAAGCATTTCTTAAATTTACCGTTATATGAGAATCGGCCGTTATTTTAGTCCGATTTCAATAATTTTCAACGTTTTGCTTACACGTGGCAAGTACAATAACCATACCGAGTTTGGTACAAATTGGTAGAACGGTTACCGATATACTTATATGTGATCATAAGTGGGCGGTGCCACGCCCATTTTCCAAAATTTTACCATAAACGTATTTCTTGGTAAAGAATTGTTGAATAAATTAGCTTCAATATTTAATGATTTATCGAAGATTTTGTATTTCTCTAAATTACCGTTATATGGGATGTGGGCGTGGTTATTGTCCGATTTTAAAAAGTTTTGG